CAGCCGAGCGGCTATACTGTTAAAATATTCGAATATATTCGAAGCGTATAGCCGCGCGGCTGCACCCTTTAAATATAGTATTTTCATAGTACAGCCGAGCGGCTATACTTTTAAAATATTCGAATATATTCGAAACGTATAGCCGGGCTGCTATACTGTTTAAATATAATATTTTCAGCGTACAGTCGCACGGCTATAAGCTTGAAATATAATATTTTCAGAGTACAGCCGAACGGCTAGACCGTTAAAATATTCGAATATATTCAAAGAGTATAGCCGCGCGGCTAAACGCTTTAAATAGAATTTTTTAGGCATCCTAGTAGGCCCTTAAATTTGATTAAGAGTTTTTTCTCTCTTGCGCATGAGAGAGATGAACAATTTATTTCTAAAGGTGTATTTGGACGATATCAAAAGGAACCTTAGCCTGAGACCAAGTAATGGAGATGACCAAGTAATGACAACTTGCATGCGATATCAAAAGGAACCGCGCGGCTATACTTGTGAAATATATTCGAATATTTTAAAGGTATAGACGAGCGGCTATACTATTTAAATATATTATTTTCAAGGTATAGCCGTGCGGCATACGCTGTGAAAATATTCGATTTTTTTTCTTTCGTTTCCGCTGCTGTGTTGATTGGATCGGATTGGACTCTCTTTACGTAACCATCAAATATTCTGCACTTTCATATAAGAGCAACTCAAATCATTGAATCCATTTCCTCTATATCACATTTAACACAGGATAGCTGCATTAGAAGGAAGAAGAGGTAAAAGAAAAACCACAACAAGGTAAGCAATGCGGCAAGGATTTTAAGAATTGAAACACACACACATTTGATGAGTAAAACAAGATTCTCTGTTGCACATCATCCAAATCTGCATGGTTCTTAACTGATCAACTGTCTTGGATGATATAACCATACCATATCCAGGAATGAATTATTACATGATCAACTTGCAGAACCTACACTGTAGAGATGCTGAAAAGTAATCTTGAACGGACTAATAAAATCAGCTAACATATCTGGAAACTCCACAGGTAGCTGATACACATAAATCAAGACAATGTTGAAGCCTGCATACAAGTGAAAAGGCGTCCCCCAGTCAAAGTGTATGCAATCTATCTTCTTTCATCTTCAATGTTTACTATTATCTATACTTCTTGAAATTGCTTCATGTTCATTATCCAAAAAGAGGACCACGATATGCAGACACATTCTTTCATTTTCTCATTCTAGGTTATTTATTTCTTCTTTTTTGGATTGCTAAGGTGGTTCAATTTTATTACACTTCTACGTTTTATTTTTTACCTTTTCATTTTGCTTGAATGATGCTTCTAAGTTCTTTCCTCGGTTTCTGGTTCATATATGAGGACTGGTTCGCACCTCACGCTGCAGCAAAATTAAAGTTCCCCTACTACTGGAATGAAGAGTGCCTTGAAGTCGAACCGCCGCCAAAGGACAAGCTATGATATCTGAGAAACATTGCATTGTAGAGTATCTAGTCTCATTATCTTTTGAGAGAATGGACAAGGTTGTAGACTTTAAAGTTTTCAGATGCATATGCTGAATTGGTACTTTTGGTCACAATATCAGAGCTTGTTTTTGCTTGAATTGTGGAGACGTGATATAATATTTTCAGAGTACAGCCGAACGGCTATACCGTTAAAATATTCGAATATATTCAAAGGGTATAGCCGCGCGGCTATACGCTTTAAATAGAATTTTGTAGGCATCCTAATAGACCCTTCAATTTGATTAAGAGTTTTTTCTCTCTTGCGCATGAGAGAGATGAACAATTGATTTCTAAAGGTGTATTTGGACGATATCAAAAGGAACAAGTAATGACAACTTGCATGCAGACCACTTTCACTTGTCTGTCCACTACACTAGCCATGGAAGATGTACTACAAATATACCATTTGGGACGACAAATGGCTAGAGTGTAGCAGCTCATGGAATGTAAGATTTGACTTTATTTTTTCAGAAGATATAAACAGAACTGAAGGTAAACTACCTGCAAGTCTTTGAGCTTGACATTGCCACGGGAAGGCCATTTTGAAGGAGGAACACAGGTCTTTTATCTCCCATGCTGCTTCTGATGGGATGTTTGTAAATTGTTTTATCCTCTCAACTGATACCATCTTACTTTCGACAAAGCAGCTCATATAAATGGCCCAGAACAGCACACCATTCAGGGGCAATCCCTAGGAGAGAGTTAAACCAACATTCTCTGCACCATGAAGGAATAACTGATTTAGCCAAATCTCTGAAATAGACACTCATCTACTGCAGCTAATTTATATCAGATGTGTCAAAATAAGATGCTGACACACACCTCAAATCAATAAGACATTATAATAATAACCATAAACTGAAGCATAATTATTATTTATTTCGGCATCTCATATCACGAGTGACCATGAATCAAGTGCTAGATATGAGTGTTGCACAATTAAAAAAAGGGATGAGAGGATTTACATACCTGGCTTTATAATACTGCTTGGCAATAAGATCATGAATAGAGTGGAAATGCAGAGAATTAAACTCCCAAGCATCTCCAAACGGAAACCCAGCCACTCATTGGATCCGTTGTTGTGGAAATCCATACGTAAATTGGCATTAACACGTTTAACATTTTCCTTGGAGAACATGTTCTGAATTTTCCAAGAGTGGATCGTCATAACTCCGGATATGTTCTCTGAGAAGTGATGGATAACAGGAGCTTTTGTGATTGAATCCAGCCGAGTTAATTCACGAGATGATGCAAGATAGTAACCCTAAAATCCAAACAGAAGAAAGATCTTCAGCATATAATTAAGGCGACACCAATGGTTACAGAGTCATATGGTTTTGGTTAAAAAAAAGTTTTTGCCATCAAGTTTGACATTTTTACATTCATGGATAAGCCAAAATGTCAAACTTTGCCAGTAATTCAAAGGATCAGGAGTTGGATTCATACACGTTATTTAAAATGACCAATGCATAGCCACGATCATATTATTCTTGATGACCAATAATATGCATGATCAAGATCATAGAAAAGGGTGCTTCAGTGCAACCCATTCATGTATGTCTAACACATTCATTGCAACATTATAGTTAAATATCAACAGCATGATAGAAAGAATGAACATACCCGGTACCATATATTAAGCCAAATAAGTGGAATCAGCAAGAATACTGTTGGCCAGGAATTTTGGCATACAACGATAAAGATGGCAAGCACAGTGATGTACATGGCAATGGTCATACCCAAAATGAAGGGAAGAAATTGATCGATATTTGTCTGATCAGTTAGCAAAGAAGACAACGTATACAACTTAGATTAAACAGAGAATAGGATCTCTCATCAACTATGACAAAAACTAATGCTTAAACAGAAAAAGAAAAGGTAAGCAATTCTAACTCACAAACTCTTACCCTACTCAGAATTCTTCCAGAAGGTGTAGTATCGAAAAATGACATGGGGGCATGCAGGATGCTGTGAAGAATTTGCTTGAAAAAAATTTGAGCTGTCGAAAGCCCCACAATCGTAACAGAAAATGCTCTTACCAATACCACAAGAAATGAAATAGCAGCAATAATAGCATAGACGGTAATAAAGACAGATGGCTTGAATGCCACTGCACGATCTGCTGAAGTTTCATAGGACAGCCAGTAATCACCCGCCATTAGAGTTGCTTGCCACAAGAGAGACAATGACAACACCAACACCACACCCCACCATCCGTAAGCCTCTGTGCAATAAACTTTGTAAACGTGCAAGCTCACTTTGCCTGTTTCTTTCTCCTCTTCTTTGATGAGTTTAGAAGTCCTGTTATCAGACTTTGGTTGGCCTAAAGAGTCGTTTGCACCATTGGCTTCCCGGTGGTTTGAAGATGGTTGAGGAGATATTTGAGGGCTGGGGGAACTTTTGCTGGGAATAGTGGGGCTCATTTCTACGAGCTCCATGGAGGTTTCATGGGCAGCTACTAGCTCTTTGAAATCCAGGCCAGAGCTTAGCAACTCATTATACTTTCCTCCTTGTACTATCATCCCATCTCTCATGACCTGATATTATTTGGAGGTAATAAGTTTAAATAAATATATAAGTAGGAGGGATACATGTGCAAATTGCAATTATAATCTTACCAAAATATGATCAACATTATGCTAGAAGTCAACTTGATGAGTTACAAGTAAAACCGTCTTGTTTTTAAGCACTCCCCTCACACATTCCTGTAGAGAAGTATAAATCATGATCAGTAGAACATTATGCATACAAATCATATTCAATGAGTATCACTTTGAACTGCTATTCTTAACAAGACCTTATTTATTTTCAACTCATTTAGACTATGAAAATCGAATAGTGTTCAAACCACCATTGTAAGAGCAAGCAAGACCGCTCAATCACTGTGGAATCAAAAGTAAATCATTTCTTTACTATCAAATGTAGAAGAAAATCTAAAGCAATGTCACCTTAAATATTTCTGATCCAGTATGAGCATCGACAGCACTGAAAACGTCATCGAGAAGATATATGTCACAATTTTGATATACAGCCCTAGCAA